GGCCGGCGGGCAGGGCGCACTCAGCGGCCCCGCCGGCGCCCTGGCCATACCTGGCGCCGCCGCGGCCGCGCCCGGCCCGCTTGACTCGGGCGTCAGCCTCGGCCCGGGGATTACGCCGCTCGGGCCCGCGCCCGCCGCCGCGCCGTCCGACGCGGGGGTGTTTGCCGTCGGCGGTCCGACCGCCGCCGGCGAGCTGCCTGCGATGTACGTCCCCAATCCGGCCAACGCGCTGACGACCAACGACCTTTTGCTCAAGCTGAGCCTCGGTAGCAGCAAAGAGCAGCTGCTGCCCGCCGCCAACTTCCTGCGGGGGCTGGTCGCCAACACCACGTCGACGCCGGTCGACAACGTGCTGTTTTATGACGTCACCACCAAGAGCGGCGCGAGCGGCGGCCAGCCGACCGTGGACGTCACCCTGCTTTTCAAGAACACGTGAGTGCTTTCTTGCTGTCGCGTGGGTCGCGGGCAGGGAGGGGGCAAGCCAGCTGCCCCACGGTGGCGTCTTGAGGAGCCCGCAACGGTTCAATTGCAGAGCGTGGTGGGGCCGTGTCAAGGGCCTGGCTGCAGCGCCGCAGCGGACCCTGCAGCCGGTCAGCGGGCGCCACCTCGGCCCCTGGTCGCACGGGCGACGGCGTGTCGCGCGCCTTCCTCGCCACCGGACGGCCACCACGTTCGCGCGCCCCTCAAGCACCCCCTCTGCGCCCGCTGTGCGCGTCGCCCCGCCGGCCCCCGCAGCCAGATGGTGGCTAAGAGCCGCCAGTTTGCGGTCCTCAACGACCGCAACCAGCTCAGCGGCATCGCCACGCAGCTGGCGCGCGCAGCAGGCCTTGTGCTCAATGACGCAAAGGCGGCCCCTGCGGTGGGCGGCGGCCCCGCGCCGATGCGCGACAGCGGCTACGGCGTGATCAACGACCTCCCGCCCCCCGCTCCGTCGGCGGGGGCGCTCAACGCAACAGCGGCGGCCGCCGCCGCCAGCGCGAGCGCCGCGGCGGCGCCAGGGAGCGGCGCCGGCAGGGCGCGTGGGCTGCCAGCGGGGGCGGCGCTGGCGGCGGGCGCGGCGGCACTGCTTCTGCTGCTGTGATCGGCCGCACGCAGTGCAGCTGGCAGCGAGCGTTGGAGTGTACATAAAATCCACGCATTGTGGATGCAGGAGTCAAGGGCGCAGCGGCAGGCTGGCGGAATCAAGCCGGGAGCGCGCAACACTTGCTTATTCCACAGCATTGCTGCACAAACGCTGGCAGCCGTCGCCTGTCTATCTTGTGCAACGGCGAGCGCGCATGGCTCCACCGGGCTGTGCACGTGCGGCGTTCATGGCCGCCTGCTGCGGCCACCGGCCACGTCTTTCTATTGTGACCTGCGCAGGCCAATGCAGGGGCAGCCACGCGTCGCGATCCCCTGAAAACAGCTTCAGGTCGAAAAATTCAGCATACTTTACTACAGCAACAGCTTGCACTTGAGTGTCCATGATTACACGTGATGCAGCAGATGTGCAGGTGTATTCTGATTGCAGTTGACCGTGCACCGGTCATACTGATTCATCATCTGGAGCACATCTCCGACACCCATCCTTTGCCGCCACGCAGCTTTGTCTGCGCACAAGCATGCACAGCATGTCCCTGGCAACCCCAACATTCGATTGCCACATTCAATCACTGTTACTGTCTGACTAAAACCGGGTTGGTCGACAGGCTGTCAAAGCACGAGCAGCAGGAATCCGCATTTGCAATTGCAAGAGGCCCTGGGGGGACGGCTTCACGGCGGTGACGCTTGGGACTTGTGGGGTTGGCCGGGCTGGGCTGCTGCCACTCAGGCGCGTGCAAAGATTGCAGTCAAAGCGCCGAGATGGACGCCGAAGCGAACAGCAGCTGGAGAAAGGGGGGGCGCACGCAAGGTCAATCATATCAAGTACAGCTTGCATACAAGCGAGGGCCACTCGACACATACAAACCACGTTGTGAAGACGCCAACTGCAACCACCCAGGGCGGCGAACGAGGCCCTACACCGTCGCCGGCGCGCCGCCTGAGGCACCACCGCCGCCGCCGCCGCCTGCCTGCTGCTGCTGCTCCCCGCCGAACTTGCCGCTGTTGGGGTGACCGGTGATGGGGCAGGGCAGGCCCCATGCTGCGAATTTGGTGTATATCGCCATCTTCAAGCGGTCAATGCTGGAGCCCGCAGAGTCCAGGGCGGGGCGCGCCACGATTTCAAAGGCCTTTTGGGGTCGCAGGGGCGGGGGCGGGGG